TTTTTTTATTTTGTAGCCCTCATTTAGCTCTACAATTTAAAAAAATGTTCATCAAAATTGGACCACTGGATGCCGAGATATTTACAAAAAACGATTTTTTGAGCCCCTGAAAAATGGGCCAATCTGCCGAAAGTGTGACTTATGACCTGTTTTGGAGATATCCAGGGTCCTGTTTACACAACATTTTTACTTTTCAAAATATTTTTAATTAAAAAATATTTGTACAATATTTTTTAATTAATTTGGTATGAAACATTTTTTTATAAAATACTTAATAAAAACATTTTTGCAACATTTTTTTATAAAATACTTAATAAAAACATTTTTGCAACATTTTTTATTAAAATGATTACAAAACATTGTAAAAACATTTTTTTAAATCAAATTACTTATTAAAAATATTTTTTCTTGGAATTCTTAAGGGTAATACCAAATTGACAGATTTCATAGAACACGAATTGAACTCATTTAAAGTCAAAATTCAGACAGAAGAATTACCAAGTACCAACACTTGATAACTTGATTAAAAGAAAACCATATATTTATAATTCTAAATGGAAATATCCTATATACTTTAAAGATAAAGAAACATATTCACACTTATGGAAATGTGAACATTTAGAACAAGTATATTTAAATATGATAGACAAATTTCAACAATACTTACAAAAATTGATATTAGTTAATAGTCAAATGGAAAATGTAAATCCTGATGATATTTTTAAAGAAATTTCATGTTGTAAGATTTGGGATTTCAATAAGGCATATAATTTGTTTATGTTAGCAAAAGGTTTTATACATATAGATTTAGTTAACTTATTTACAAGTTATAGAATATTAGATAAAAACAGAATAAGGTTATTAGATGGTTTGGTTAACAAATTGATTTTTGACTTCAAAATTTTTATATGGGAATATAGGAATGTTAAATTAGCTGATTTAGAACATCAGAAAGAGATTAATGCAAAGATGAAAAAGTCGACCAACAAATCTAAATTGGTGGCCAATAAATTAGACAAAATAGTAAGTTTACATTGGGAGCTATGAAATAGCTTAGTATTTGATAAAGGAGGGCATTGGTCAAATTTTTAAGTTTTTCATGACAAGTCACCTTTGATCTCAAGGTGACAGGTCAGTCTTTTCCTTTAAAAGGGGCAGTATGTTAATAATGTTTAAATTTATTTAGAATACTTTATTTTATTTTACTTTTGTAAATATATTGTATTACTTTAATATTATTATCAATAAACATGATCATGCCTTTACAAAGAAAAAAAAAAAAAAAAAAGAAATATTTCAACTTGGGAAGGTCAAAAGTCGAAATTAAAGTCGAAATGGTCGAAATTACATCCTAATCATANAAAAAAAAAAAAAAAAAAAAAAAAAAAAATATTTTTTCAATATTTTTTGGATTGCTTTAATAAAAAACGTAAAATTGTAAATAATCTGCAATTCTGCAATTATTTTGCAATTGAATTGCAATACTTTACAAAATTATGAAATATTTGCGAAATAGCAGATAATTGCAAATTGTGAAATTACGAATATTTAGATTTAAAATTCCACAATGTTCTGCAATACCACAAATCACAATTATTCCACAATTGCCTATTTATGGTATCATCCTTAATTGCTAAGTATATTAGATGAATTTATAAGAAAAAACTCAAATAGAGTAATCTTAAAATATATTATAAATGTTATATTAAAGTATTAAGTAAAAAAAAAAATAAAATTTGTTTTTTTAACAAAACAAATAAAATATTATAACATTTAAAATGCATGTATTTATTTATAAAAATAATATCAAAATTAAGGTTGCTTGCCAAAACCTAGGGGTTTAGGCAAGATGGCGTTTCGCCAAAAAGTGAAATTTTGCCGAAACTATATTAAAGTTATATTAAAAAACTGGCAAAACTTTGGAGAAAGACGAAACTGCCGAAACTTATTATAAATGCTGAAACTGCTGAAACTGCTAAAACTCTGCCGAAACTATAATAAATCTATAGTAAAATTTTGACGAAACTAATCGTAGGATTTTGAAGAGGTTTAGACAAGCAACCTTAATAATCAAAATACAAAATGATTATATAAATTTTTTAATATTTCAGTATAAATATTAAAATTTTTTTTTTATTGGTATATTAATTAGCTTTCTTTTTTAATTTTACAAAGTAATAATAGTTATGATACTTCAACTACTTTTTTAAAAAAAGTTATTATATGAATTTTTTATAAACTACTTAATAATTTTATTATTAGATTATTATCAAATAAAAATATTAAAAAATTTTATATATTGTTAATTTGATTAATAGTTTCTTATAAATAATTTACTATTGGGTTAACAATTCTGAAGTAAAGGAATTATTTGAATTTTTAAACCTTTTTTTAAACTTTCTAATCATTATATACTTAATGGTAAAATTTTACAAGATATTATTTTTAAGAAAATAAAGTATTAAAAAAGAATATATTGGTGTAATTCTTATATTTGATAGTAATATTTTTTATTATTATTATTATTACAAATAATATATAAATTAGTAATTCTAGATGAAATTAAAATATTTAGTTGTTTAATTAAATTGAAAATAGTTTAAACATTTAAAATTAAAATACTAAATTTAATATTTCATGAATTTTTAAAATTATAATAATTACTTATAATTTATAAATTATTATACAATTGACCCTTTTTATAGGTATACCTTTTAAAACCAAAAAAGTATAATGTGATTATAAAAATACTATATAGGATGACTAAAAAAGAGATTTTTTAATAAGTTTATTAGTAACTTGGATGTATCTATAAAGAGATTAATTATATATAATTTATATTAAAATATAATACCATATTTTTCTAATATTAAACACTCCCTTTTTGCAGGGATTTTATGTGAAAAGTTTGAAAGGATGCTTAATATTAATAGTTTTAGAAAAATATCTTTTAAATATCTTTAAATTTAAATCAATTTAAAAAATTTTGCAAAAAAGTTTTGGTAATTAAATTCTTTTATTTATAAATATATTTTTTTAATAATAATGTAATTTTATTTTTTTGGTAATATAATAAAATTAATAAGTAATCAAAAAACTGCTTATTTTAGTTTATACTTGATATTGTGCAAAGTAAAGAGAATACTTAATTTCAAAAGATATTTAATATTGGAAAAATAAGGTATTTTTTAAAGGAATTTATAAAACTATTATATATATAATATAAATTTTGAAATTTTTGGCAAAAAAAATTTAACCAGGTATTACTAATACAAATTATTCTGCTGTATGATCATATGACTTTTACATTTCTCAAAAAATTTTTTCCTTTGATTACTTTAAAAATTCCACATCAAGAAATAACCAACTGTCCAACCGAATTAAATAGCTCTTTACAAGATTTTTATTAATTTGAGAATAAATTGGCAATTATATATATATTCATTAATGTGATGATTGTATAAAATCTTCAAATTGGTCCCTGTTATTGGTAATTATAATAAGCATAATACTAATTATAATCATTAATAGTTATTATTACTATATAGTAATATGCCAAAATAAGATAATTCATTAAATCATTATTAATAATATTGGAAAATTGTAAGTTTTTCTTTTACTTGAATTAATTTTCAACAATTTCCTTCAGTTTGAACAGTAATATATTAATATGGTATTTAGTACTTCAGTAATCTTATCATATAATATAATATTATGCCATTCAGTTTGAAATGTTTTATAATTAAAATCTGATGTTATCCTTAAAACTTCTTTGGCATCTTTATCTTGGGTCATATAATGTTCAAAGACTTTTCCATAGGTCCATCCAACAGCATTATTTGTCAAAACTTTCGTTTTGAGGAAAGTTTAGCTTGAACAATCAAATTTCCAGTTGAATCTTTAATTGTATTATATATGATATCATGCATAATCTTGTGAATGTGTATATCTTCAATGATCAATCAATCCTCTTTTATCTTATTTTGATATTGATCACAATCCCACATTTCTTTTCTGTAAATTGATTTTGTGATTAATGATATAAAAAATAACTTTACTGGACAAGCCAATTTTTTTAAAATATCAAAAAAATATTCTTAAAGCACATTTTAGCTCATCAAGATGCTTTAAAATTATCGTTAAGATTGTAATATTTTAAAATATTGGAAAAAGTTAATTAATAGATATATATGTGTATACATGAGTATATATATACATCAAAAAAAAAGACAAAAAAAAATTTTTTTCGGGGGGGAAGCCTCCTATATATATTAATTTACGTATCACGTGACCACGTGATATCAAAATCACTAAATTACCGCAGCTTCAGCTGCGCCTGCTGCGGTATAGCAAAAAAAAAATTGACGCCTTTACTTCTGGTCGGGTCAAGTCAATTTACCCGACCGGACCTGACCCATTCGGAGCTCTAAGTAGATCTTGGCTGCGGAATTATGTCTAATAGTCACCACAATGCGTCACACCCTTCTATGTTCCGACCCGCGCATTTTACGCGAGTGCGTAAAATAAATGTTATTTATATCAATAGCAATAATATTATAGTATAGAAATGGGATCAAAGCATATATCACTTATAGGACTCCAATTCAACTAACTCTCTTAATAGTAAACTAGCATATTGGAATTTTCCCCTAACTTAACCGTTAAAAATTCAAATTAAAAGGATAAACATCTTTTACTTAGTTTGGATAGCTTGAGAATATTTTCATTTTTTTTAAGTTCTCTTTTATTCTGAAAAAAAAAATTACCCACATTCCATTGATCTTATTACATATCATATCGGCTGATTGGAAAAATCAAGCCAATTGCCTCAGTTGATGGGTTACATTATATAACTGATGGGTTACTTATTGTCATTAGCATATAAAATTATGGGAGGCTTTTCAGCGATATGTGATATGGGTTCAAAATTTGTAATAAAAACATCATAAGTTCGTAACTTTTTCGTTATTTCATATGATTAATTATAATTTTATTGTGATATATAAAACGACATTTTAAGCATTCAACTTTTTCATCTTCTTTTTAACGCATATTTTTTCCAAAAATGTGTCAAGGTATAGTGGAACGTGTCAATGAAAAGGACAACTTGAAATAATTTTTTTTTTTAATATACATGGTAATAATAAATTTTTATTAAAAAGCTGAAAGCGGACAAACAATCTGTAAATCTCCTGAGTGCGATCGCCCAATTTACGTTGAAAGTAATGGGTAAATAGTACTTAATGATAGTATTTTCAAATATTCATTTTAATAAATCAATTCTTTTATTAGAATGCGGCATCCATTTTGCGGACGTACCTGCGCAAGCAAGTATGGTGATTATGTATATCCAAGATATTGCAAACGCGTTGGATGTAACAAGACTACATTTGTTGAACAAAATGGGTACGTTCACCCTTATTGTGGAAGGAGTTGTGCTGACATCGCGCTTTCTCAGATGAATCAAATTGGCTCTGTTATTGATTTGGAAACTACGATTGAACAACTTAATCCGCTTTCTTCTCCGTTATCTACTACTTCGAATTCAACCATTTTATCTGATTTTTGTGAATAATTTGAATAGTTATTTTATTATCTGATATATGTAGTGATTCAATAGTTCATGTAAAGTTGTGAATACGAAATAAATAATAAAAAGTATACGATTTAAGATTTATTCGTACTATAACAGAAAAAAAAAAAAATACTGCGCCAAAAGACCTGTTTAACAATAATTTGATAATAAAACTTTTATTATTACGCTTATGCTTTTCCTGTCATTCATGGCGTAGAAAGGTCAAAAATGCTGTTACGCTTTGTTCCATAATATTCTGAAAGAGAATATGACTATTGTTAATTGATTATGCAATATAATCTTCATAATTGCATTAAACTTAATTCGTGTTAATTAAGTCAATTAATCGGAACAAAATTGAATCATTATTTCGAAAGAAATAAATCATTTAGTTATTACGTAAAAAAAAAAATTATTTTATATGAATTAGTTTATTCAGGCTTGTGATTTTTTAATTAGGCTGAATTTCATTCGACTGATCAAATATATCTTTTTTTTTGAGATAAAAAGGAGGAAAAAAGAAAAAGGAAAAGAAAAAAAAAAAGAATTTTTTTTTTTTAAGGGAACGATTGCGTGTTCTTTCAGTAAGTTTATTATTTATTGTAATGAAAGAATATCTTATTTACAATTTTCATAATTTTGGATCTCACAAAAACGTTCACACTTTTATAACTCGATCATATTTTTAGTGCAGTTAAAAATGTCGTCTTCACGACAAATTTGTTCACGTAATGGATGTAGAAAGGTAGCTTACGTTGAGTCAAATGGTTTCATTCATCCCTATTGCGGTAGAACATGCGCATTTGAAGTTCTCAACAATCCACCACCGACTCCAAGATGTAAGAATCCGGTTTGTTCGCGACAGAGATATATTGATCCAAGTGGAATCCAATATGATTATTGTGGAAAAAATTGTGCTAGACAACATTTAAATCCAAAAGCACTTAATTGTTCTCGGCCTAACTGTCAAAAACGCGTCTATACAGATCCTCAAGACAAAAAGAAATTTTATTCTTATTGTTCCTCGGCTTGTTATTGGTCAGAATGTTCAACATTAACCGCAACTCAATTAAGTTTATTAAACAAAAATGATTTAGATTATATTTGGGCTCATCAAAGATTTATTTCAATGTTACCTAACGCTAAAATTAAAGGAATCTTTCGTCTTCAAATGCCAAAAAAATTGGTTGACGCTCATCAAAAGCTTAAGAAACGAATGGCTAACCAAAATCGTTTATCATTGAATGCCATCACTCAAAAAATGTATCATGGTACTAGAGCGCTTTGTGATCCTTTGCAGTATATTAAACAACCTTCACCAACATGTACGGTCGGTTGCGGGTTGTGTGGAATTGTTTCTGGAGGCAATGATACTGCTTGCTCAAGACATAGTAATCAAATGTGGTTTGCAAACAACCCTTCAGTTTCTTATGGGTATTGTGATCATCCAAACAAGGTTATTTTTATGGTGGATGTCTTGTCGGTAAATAGTCTACCTATATTGATTGTGGACAAAAATGCGGTGAGTTACAATAAATCTTTTTTCTAGTTTGATAAAAATTGATTTTTTAAAAATGACTTATTTTAATTTTCTTTTTTTTTTCAAGCTTACTCTACCACGTTTTCTCATTATTTTTCAATGAAAGATTGGGGAGTATTTTTTTTTTTTTTGTTATTAAATAAGTTTTTCATACGTAGTTTAAATATTTTGGCAATGTTTTAAATATTACTTACTGCGAATTATGTAAATGATAACAAGGGGAAATTGATCAGTATTTACAAGTAAACATAAATAAATTCATTCATTGCTTGCTGCGGAAGTGATAAATTACAATTATCAATTTTTGTTTTCTAAGCTAAAAATATGCACACTTTATTCCGTAAATCGTTTCTGGTGTTAAAATGAAAATTTTTTTGAAAAAAAAAAAACAGACTTGGGACTTGATAATTTAATGATATGAGTATTCGAATTTCAGAAAATAAATAATTTGGGATCATACCCGTGAACAGCTTTTATTTTTTGAAAATATCTGAAAATAATTTACATCTAAACCAAAAAAAAAAAAAAATTATATTATTTGTTTCATGTTTCAGATTTATATTGATTAATTTTGTTTCCTTTTCTTATTAATACTAATGATTAATCATCACATATAGTGGGTTTATATTTTATATTATAATAAGAAATGTCTTTTTTCCGTGTTGTCACATAAAACATTTTTTTTGTGGGGTTTTTTTTTAAAAAAAATTTATTAGTAAAAATGATAGGTATAATAAATGAATGAGAATTATGTACATACATAATAGATATTAAATAAACTTAAAACGAACAATATAACCATCACTGATTAAGATTCCCAAATTTGGATTTCTTTTCGGGAGTCTTCATCAATAATACCGGCCAACTAAATTATATTATAACGTTAGTAAGTCATAGGGAAACAAACAAGCTGATTATTTATTTTTTTTTATGACTAACCTTGAGGATTTCTTTGTCTTCTTCTTTGTTACCACTTCTCTTAAAACCACTTCTTTTGGCTGCTTCGGCTTCTTCCCATTCCCATTCTTTTTCTTGTTTTTCTTTTGCTAAATCACCACCTAATCCAAATACTTCAATCTCTATAACTTCAAATGGTATATCAAAGTACTGTCTAGTAGCCGATAAACGATATGTCGGTTTTACTTCATGATGAGCAGCATCATTTCGATAACGACCAAATTGAAGTGTATTATCAACTTGAAGTGAAAAAGAATTTCGTTCCGAAGTTGTTATCACGTTGGAAGTTATGCTTGACGTAGCTATACCACCAAAACCAATACCAAACGAAGGATTATAATAAACATAATTTGAATTAAATTTTGTAGCAGGAAATTTCTCAAACACTGGCAAAACTTCAAAAAGTGCGCATTCTTCTGATCCAAAACAGGTTTTTGGATTAGAGGTTGATTTCCATGGATCAGCAACATAAGCTCCTAACAATAAAGTATTTACGTGTTTTTTATTTTTTGAAGTTGCCATGACTTCATTTTTACCAGCACCTGAAGAAATTGATGAAACAGATTTACGTCTTTGTGAGGATATATCAATATCGGCATGTATTAACATAAGAGTCGGACCTGGATATTTAAATACATTTCTATGAAAGCGATTCATACTAAAACCATGTTTACTACTACTGTATAAACAATTCCAATAACGTCTTTTTATAACACTTTCAGGTAACATCCAAGATAATAATCCCATATTCATCTGATTTAATATATCTGAATGTAAATCTAATTTTGGCCAATATTGAACTTTTGGTCCTTGAAATAAGGTATCACTCCTTTGTTGAGATAACGTAAGCCCTATTAAAAATTGTCCGTAAATGAAAGGTAAAAATCCTCTAAATATATTTGGAGCATTTCTTTCAATGAAATTACTGAATGTTAACCAAGTAATTACTTGATCTGATTTTATATTTGTGCTATTATCATATCGTACCATATGTTCAACGACATGTACAGCATCTTCATGAATTTGATTAATAAATTTTGGGGAAATGATTTTTTTTAAATTTTGTTTTAATTCTTCCGAACTTGCATTAATTGAAGACATTTCACTTGACATAAGCCATATTAGACCTGTTAATATTTTAACCATATCTTGTTTTCGTACTTTTGAAATTTTAGAATGGTCGGTTTCATAAAATCCAATAGCTTTTAAGAATTCGGTATCTTCCGGAGTTACTAATTGAGGGATTTGAGAAATTGAAGATTCAGAAGAAATTGAAGGATCTTTTTGTTCATTATGTATGTCATTATCAGAGATGGAAAATGAGTCAAAAAGAAGTTTTACTCGATCTTCATTAATTATATCTTCAGTCAAATTACAATAGACAGCTACCGCTTTTATTAACCCATCATAAGTAAGAAGAGCATTAGTGTGACCAACAGAAGGATAATTTGCTAGATAAGTGAAAGAACGATATATAAGAGGGCCAGCACCAATATCGTCAGGAAATCCTAGATAACCCTAACAAATATTATAAAGTAAAATAAAATAAAATAAATAAAATCGTTAAAATGAGTAAAAAAAAAAAAATCATTTATAAAAATATTATTACGATGAAGGCCCCTTTGGAAATGTGAGCTATACCCCTCTCATTTATGGTACTAAGGTTATCAAATGAGGCTCTTAGAGAATAACTTTCAATTTGAGAAAATTTTCTCTTCAAAAGTTCATTTGATATTCTTGAAATCCTACCATTAGGTGAAAGAAGAGATATATTCGATGTATCATGTTTTGGTTTCGAAGTTTTTGACGGCTTCTTTTTAGTATTACTACTATTATTATTTCCCATATTATTTTGTTTTAGAAATTGTGGGTAATAAAAGGAATTTTCGAGGTACTTATATAAAAAAAAGCTAATGGCGCATTTACATATACTTTATCCTATAATAGAGTATTAATATATAGTGTGTTTCTGGAATGATATTTAATTTGGGAAAGTTGGCAAAGCTGTAACTGCAAATATTTGTATGATTAACACAAATCATCATTTAATTCAATTGCAGTTATATTCGTAGAAAAATCTTTTGAGAAAGATTTAAGCAATGGATTGGTTACACGAAAATTTTCGAAAAAAAAAGGATGTTTATAGAGAATAAAAGATTTTGTGTAAGTTTAATTTATTAAAAAATCGATTATCAAGGTTTTCATTAACGTGGAAAATTTACCTGGGAAAAAATTTTGGCTTCCCAAATATGAATAAATTACGCCATATCACCGGATAAGGGTGTAACAGCTATCTATATAAGCTATATAGTAAGTATACCATCAAAACAAATAACTCAAAGAAAGCAGTGTCGCGTGATATCGGATGATTTCTAAAATACGTTTGAATATTTAATATTTGAACTCACATGCTTTGAAAAGGGAATAAATAGACGATGATTGAGTAAGAAGCATTCTAAATTTTTTTTTTTTTTTTTTTTTAACAATCGATTTTTTATATAGTACAATTTTATTTTATATATTTGGTTTTTTTTACAAATAAAAAAAAAGAAACTTCTTATTTGATTTTTATGATTAGTGCGTTTTAGCTTCATTTTTTTGGGGCGATTAGAATTCTGAATAGAAATTTCAATACTTTTTTAAATACTGTATGTTGGGCAATTAGTTTTTAAAATCAAAAGGAGTAATTGTGCAATTTCCGATTTGTTCTAATCTGTTCTAGAAATTTTAAATCATATAAATCATATGATTATTGATTTATTACAAGGAAAAAAAAAGAAGGAAAAAAATCTCAACTGATTTCCTAAAACTAGTGAATCGGATAAATTTCTGCGTAATGTCTTTTTTGTCTATTATGTAACACGAGCACAATATCTCATTTACCTATAAATTTACCTATAAATCTGTATTAAAAAATTAACATTATTCACATTATTCACATTGTCTCCTTTTAGAAATCGTTAGTATTCGGAATTTTCCATATTTCGATCTCGTTAATTGGTCACGTCATGCGCGTAGAAGTGCAGATATTTAAATGTGATTAAATGTGATTACCGTAAGATCACGGGATTGGTTTTTTTTTCGCTGCTTACTTTATCTGTACAACAAAAAAAAATCACGGCTAAAGAATTATCCAAATGTTATATCAACATTCTCCTATTCATATGATAGGAAATTATATTTTTTTGACTTCTCCCTAAAAAAAAAAAAAATTTATGGATCCGAGTTATAAAAAGATATATATTTAATTATTCGTAAAATTTTGACAGTTTGAATTTTTTTATATACATAAAAAAAATCATACATTTCTTCCCAAAGGATTTATAATATGCTTTCGATATTTGGATGCCCAGTAAAAATTTTTTGTAACAAAGAAACGGTTACAATAAATGTAAGAAATAAAGAAACTAATGAAAAAATTAAATTGTACGATTACGTTAAAAAAAAATGTCCGTCATTAATTGGAGATAAAGCGTATTATTATCCTACTCCTTGGATTGGAAATGGTCATGTTCAAACTGCTTATGCCGCTTTCCAGAAATTCGAAGATATTCATTTAATTGATTATGAGAGGTACGAAAGTCAAACCATAAAATTAGTATGTAATTAGAATATATAATTTAATTCTTTAGTATAAATTAGAAAAATTGTCTCGACACCTGATGGAGGACAAATTGCTGTTGATTGGACTCCTCCGCTTAGTAAAAAACCATTTGATGATACTCCAACAATCGTCGTCTTACATGGACTAACCGGAGGTATTATTCAAAAAAAAAAAAAAGTTTTAGTAATAATAAATTAATTTTTTTTCCAAAAAAAAAATTCTTTTTTAGGAAGTCATGAATCCTATATTAGGTGTATATTAGATATTTTGGTTAATCCACCACATAATTATAGAGCAGTTGTAATTAATTTTCGCGGATGTGCTGAATCAGATATTACGTCACCAAGACTTTATTCAGCTGCTGCAACTGATGACATTAGATCAGCTATACGTTATATTAGAGAATGCATTCCCGATGCTCCGTTATTAGGTATCGGATTTAGTATGGGTGCAAATATTTTAGTTAAGGTATTTTATTATTTCAATTAAATATTTTTTTTTTAGTTTTAAGTTTTTTTTATTTCTTTTATATAGTATCTTGGGGAAGAAGGAGAAAATACTCCTTTGTCTGCCGCAGCTTCGATTGCGAATCCCTTTGATCTTGTCAAGTTTGTATCATCTATTTCAATAAATTCATTCGTGTTTTTTAAACTTTTAAAGCATGTTTTTTATGAATAAAGTATCAAATTTTTAGTGGAAGTAGAGCATTGGAAGGAACTTATGCTGGAAAATACATTTATTCACCTGCTATGGCAAGTAATCTTAAAGAAGCACTTGCAAGACATGAACATATGATGAAAAAAGATAAAAGATTAGATTTGGAATATGTAAAATCAGTAAGTTACAAAAATTTCTTTTGAGATCAAAATTAATAATTAAGCAATCACTAATAATTTAAATAATTATTAGGCAAATACATTAAGAGAATTTGATTCAAGATTAACAACAGTAAGTTTCGGTTATGAAACAGTAGATCATTATTATAAAGATGCAAGTTCATCACAATTTATACCAAAAATTAAAATACCATTATTATGTTTAAATGCTGAAGATGATCCAATTGCTTCACAACAATGTATTCCTTATAATGAATGCATTTATAATTCAAATATTATCTTAGCTACTACTTATTATGGTGGTCATCTTGGCTGGTTTACTGGTTTGTGGAAACCAACTAGATGGTGTATTAAACCATTATCTGAATGGTGTATTGCTTTTTTAGAAGTAAGTTAAAAAAACATAAATTTATATTTACATTACGATTATTTTTTACTTACAATTTTTTTTTTAGATTTATGGAAATTCTAATAATAACAATTCTTTAAAACAATCAGATGATGAAGAAAGTAATTCTTCAAGTGAAGTAGAAACTGTTGTTGATGATAATTAAAAACTTAAAAAAGATATTTTTTTAAAAAAAATTTTAATTTATAATTTTTAGTTTATAATTTTATAAAAAATAATAATGATTTTTATAAATTATAATAAATATTAAGTAATCATTAATATTAAAGTAAAAATTAAAATCCTAATTAATTAATTTATTTATTTTCAATAGTTATTATTTATAAGATATTTATAATTATAATCTATAGTATATTATAATTATTATATTAAAACATTAAATATAAATTATTATTTATTTTCAGATAATTTAAAAGTTTTTTGGCTATTTATTTACATTTAATAAAAGTAATTTATTTGATATAAAGTAGTTAAACTGAAAAATATTTAACTTAGTATAATTCAATTTACTGAATTAAATTATTAATCTAAATTATAATTTAATTTATTTAAAAAATAAATTAACCAGTTCAGTTAAATTTAAATATGATTATCCTTATATATATTAAAATTTTATTATAATTAATATATTTAAATTTTAAAAAATTTAGTTTTTTTTATAGTTTATCTTTAAAAGAAGTAGCTTTATTAAAATTCAATTTTATATAAAATATAAAATATTTTATATTGAATCTTTCCATTTATTTTCTATAAATATAAAAATTAAAATTTTTTTATATATTAAAATTAAAATATTACTTAAGTTTATTACTAATAGTAATTATTACTATTAATAATTAATTTTAGTTATTAAAATAATTTGAATAGCATGTATAGTATTACCTATATTACCTGTTAGCTTAACTATATCATATGTAACAAAATTAGCTAACCAACATATCTGTTATAAAATAGTTAATTATTAATAATTAGTAAAATAAAAATTTTTTAAATTAGTAATAATCTTATTAAAAAAGATTACATATTAAATGAAGATAACAAATTGAAACATAATAATTCAGATAAAGATAATGAATCAAATGGAAACAACAAATTAGAAAATAATTCTAAATTTTTTGAAAATTATTCATAACCTTTTTTTGAATTATTTTAAGAACCAGATATTTTGATAAATTTGGAAACTCAATATACTGTATATATATATTAACTGAATATTTTATAATAGCAAAAGTTTCATTTTGTCAAAATCTACTTCTTATTTATTATATAATTTATAGTATTTCATATACATTATAAACTATAAAATCAATTTTTTAAATTGAAAATATTTTTAAGTAGTAGAAAAATTTTCAATAATATAACTTACTTCTTTTAGTTTTATAAATTTTAAAAGAAATTTAATTGTTATCTTATAATAAAATCTATAAAAACTTATTAATTTGTGCAATATTTACTTTTATTTTCAATCATATTTTTTTTCAGTAATAAATCTTATTTAATATTATTACTAATTAAAATATACCTTAATATACACTTTTAAGATAATAGATTAACTTGCTAGTTTTTGTTAATATTTTGTTATTTAAAGTATTTAATTGAATTTATCATTAATATCTTTAGTATTTTAAATAGTTATTCATTATTCTAAATTTCAGAATCTTTAATTATTTGTTAATTACTTTTAAAATATTTGATAAAACTTCTTTTATTAATTCATATTAATTCTTTATTTAAGAATAAATTAGTATTTCTTTACATTTATTATAATAATAAAGTATTTTATATGATTTTTTGACTGAATAATTGATTAAATAGTAACTTAAAGCAAGCAAATAGTTGTAACATTTTTATCAAATACATTAGATATTAATCTTTTTTATTTTATATTGCTAATATTTTTGATTAATTTTTGAAGTTTATTTTATAATTATTGTATTTATAAACTATTAACTTAAATAAATTATTATCAATTTAAAATGATTTATCAAATTTTCCATTAACTTTAATTGATTTATTGAATTTTTCATCAACTTTAAGTATTTAAATAATTTGTCAAATACTAAAAATTTTGATTAATTTTTGAAGTTTAATTTAATAGGTATTTTATAATTATTATAATAAAGTTTTGAAGAGATATATTTATAAATTATTAACTTGAATAAATTATTACCAACTTTAATTAATTTATTAAATATCCATTAACTTTAATGATTTATTAAATATTTAAATTTCTCATCAATTTAAATAATTTATTAAATGTTTAAATTTTCATCAATTTTAATGATTATTAATTTTAATAAAATAATTTATTAAAATTTCATATTAAATTTATATAATTTATTGAAATTTATTATTAATGTAAATAATTTATTGATATTCCTTATTAATTTAAAATAATTTAAAACAATTTATATTAACTTAAAATAATGTTTCATATAAATCAAATTTTTTCTTTGAAATTTGATTTGATTTAGATTTGATTCAGACTTGATTCAAATTTCAAAAAATATTATCTCAAGTATCTAGTAATCTGATAGCTTTTATTACTCTAATTAAAATAAAAAAAATTGTTGAAATTAGACTACTAGATTAAAAATTATTTGCAAAAAATATTTTATTTTTTAAAATTAATCAAAGTCATATTATATTATAAATTAATTTATATGAAACATTAATTTAAAATTAATGAACTTCAGAAAATACTTATAAAATATTATATGATCAAATTTTAAATTATAAAATAAACTATTTTTATTTAAAGTTTAATTTTTTTTTTTTTTTTTTTTTTTTT